AATACATATAAATCTTAAATATATGTTTTCAAATATGGGATCTTACTTTATAGAAGTTTTATATCCTACATTTTCTAGTTAACATTTACCCTAAGTATGTTCTTATATCCTTAAATATTTTCAAGTACATCCATTCTAATTTCTGCAATGGTCTTGCTTCTCGGTAAGATTGATTTGAAAAGACATCAAAAAAAGAAAAGAATTCCACTGAGCAGCTAAATACAAGACGAACTAATATATTAAAATTCCCATAAGACTAATTTTCTCTTATTTTCAAAGATTTGTAAGCTAAAAGGAGGCGGCATATTCGGATAACTGTTGTTCAGTAAATGTAATCAGCTTTTCTGAACACACCTTCTGCTGTGTGTTGCAATGTGACCATCACGCAGCGTACTCGGAGATCCAAAATGAGATCCTGGATCGTCTGCAACATGTCGTTGGGAATTTCAAGGGCAGTCAACGATTCATAAGTAAGCCTGCAAAACAACCACCACAAAAGTGAGCCAAGTGGGATCCCACAGCAGTTCGTGCCACGGCTTTTGCAGTCCTACGATCGTTCCTCATGCCGCTTGCGAACTACAGCACTAGGTTGAAAATGGGAAGCAAGATCATGACAGGGACTGCGCTGTACCGGTAAAACCAGGATAAGCAATTAAAAAGATGCACAAACAGTACGACACTCTCTTCCATTATACACACCGGAAATATTTAAGGGCTTCCTTGTTAAGATGATAAACGGAAAACCGTGGAGGCAAAAAAACAGATGGAAGGAAAAGTAAAATTCCTTCTTTGTTAAATGTATCAAAAGTCATATCCCATACTAAGTATTTTTTTTTCAAAAAGCAAGAAAAAAAAAGTACTCCTTTTCACGAGAATGTGTCTACATTCACCTGATGGTCTGGATGACGTGCGTGAACCACTGTCCGGAGAGCTCGGACTTCACCTCCCAGCCCCCGTACTGCCGCGCCTCGCCGTCCCAGATGCTGAGTGGGAGCAGGGCCCCGCGGATCAGCTTCACAAGCGAGTGCATCACTTCCTGAATCATTTTCTAGAAAATGAGGGACAAGCAAAACTGCATCAAAATGTCACTAATCTGATTAATTAACTAAGCAATATTGAGTCTCTTGAACATAAAGTCTCCTAGTGACTCTGGATGAGAAAACCCCACCCTGTGAAAAAGTCTACATACTTTTCCTCAACTTACCTTAAAATCATTTTGTCTTTGTCTTACGTTCTTTGATCTTTCAATCTGGCCTGACTTCTCAGCAGTCTTAAAAATTAAAAACCAAAATATAACATATTAGAAGTAATGTATAAAAATAAGTGCTTTAACATTTCCATACGAAGAGAACAAGAAATACGGTTCTAACTTGATTAAAAGGAATGCTTAAGACATAATCCAACTTTCTCATTAAAGGATGATTAATTATAAAACCTTTCTTATTCCAACAAGAAGTTATTTATCTTTCTAAACCTTTAGGTATAATTTCCATAAATAAACCTAAGAATTAAGTAGAAACTATTGATTTTATAGGTGAATTTCATATGCCATTTCATATGGGTAAACCATAATGTATCATACCCATTATAACATTCTCAACGTCATTTCCCATTCACTAGCACAGAAATACAAAGAAAACTAATTTGTGAATTAATGGACAGTAATCGTAGGGTGATTTCTTTGTAGAAATATACTTTTGCTTTGAAAGAATTAACAGTATACAGAAAAAACTAAGCCCCAAATTCACCTCAATAACCCTTCAAAAAGCTAACTCCTGAGTTCATTGGTCAATGGCACTCAAAATTCTTTATACACCAGTATTTAACTCAGAAACTGATTTTTTTTCCTTTCAAGACAAGTGAGAAGGAATTGAAACATTTTAGGCAGGGGGGTGATGTGATTAGGTCTGACGTGAGAAGAAAGGACGACAGGGTCCAGCGTGGCAGCCGGACCAGCCAGCAGGATGCTGCAGTTGTCCAGGTGAGCACGGCCACAGCTCAGCAGCAGGTGGGCAGGTGAGCCCGGGTGGTTGGCTTAGGCTGCCCCGGGTGTCGCAGTGAGGAAGGCGACACGCCCAGAGGACGCTGGTCTCCTACAGCACCGTGTGCAAGACTATTCTACGTCGACTGAAAGTCACGCCCACTCAGGCAAGTCCAGTGGCTCTGAATGCGTGCTCACCTGCTTTCTGTTTTTGTCCAGCGTGATGCTAGGAATCGAAAGAACACTGTTGGTGACACGGGGCCGCGTGCAGAGGAGTGAATGCCCTGCTCGCCGAGGTGGTCATTAGCTATTCTCTAAATGCTGTGGTCTGGTAGGTCTTAGTCTTGGGCACTTTTTCCCTTTTCTCTCTGTACTCTCTCACGAATTGATTCCCACGGCTTCGAACACCATTTCTCTCTAATGTCTTCCAAATGTGTATCTCCAGCCTCAATATCTCCTGAAACCCAGATTTGAATCTCAAATTGCCTGCTTGAGGTCTCTTCTTGGATAACTCGATGTAACACATTGGAATGAAGGTCTGACATCCTTCCTCCCAGCACACTCCTCCTCCAGTGCTCCGACTTTGTGAATGGCACACCTATCACTCAGCAGCCCGTCTGGGAGCTACGCTGGAACCCCTGCCGTCCTCACCCTCGTCTGACCCATCAGCAAGGCTGATCGACGCCACCTCCAAAGTGCACATCAAGCCTAGCGATTTCTCTCCAACTCCACCGGCAAAGCTTCGTCTAGAACACCAGCCTCCACTGCTCAGGAAGCTCCGCGCACACCGTACCTTCCTCCCCTTCCTCAGATACGGCGCTGTGTGTCATCCTCGCTGCCTGGCACCTCTTCCCTGCTCCTCTGCGAGGTTGTTTCTTTCTCACTTGCTGAGTGTCGGCTTCAATGTCATCTCCACAGAGAGACAGTCCCTGACCTCTATCCCACTGACGTTCTTTATCGTAGGACCATGTTTGTTTCTTTTATAGCCGTTACCAGAATTTAGGATATTTTTTAAAACAATGTTTTGGTTCAGCCTTCCTAGGAAGGGAGAGGTGATGTTTATCCTGGTCACTCTTTTATTTATATTGTATATATGTATTTTAAGATGTACGTGTGTATGTGTATGTATTTTGAGTGCACATGTGTATGCATGTGTGCACATGCTACAAGTTTACATATACACATGCACATGTATGTACATCCATGTATGGTGTGTGCACAAACGTATGCATATGCATGCCTGTATACGTATTATGTGTATGCGTGTGTGCATGTATGTGTATGCATGTGTGTTTATCAGTACCTGGCACTTGGTAAATAAACGAGCACCTAAAGCTAGTGCTCTTCAGAACCTCCTTGGACATGTTTGAGAACACACGACAGCCCTGAACACTGCTGGGCTAGTCTGAAGACCTTTTCTTTAAAAGCCTGAAGTCCTGGGTCTCAACGTGACAGACCGGCCCTTGGAGGTGGGTCTGCCCGGCATAACCCTGTGAGATGCTTCTGAAACGCCCAAAAGACTCGGTTATCCTAGAGATTTACGGTGACGACGGAGGATGAGCAGAGGGGCGAGAGTCCTGGGCGCAGGCTGGGGAGGAGGCTGCAGGTGTCGAGCTCGGAGGCTGCTGAGGAGGCTGGTGCCTGCGGGAGCACGTGACGCTGGGGCCCCACACTGCCGAACCCTTGTCCGGGGCCCTGTGATGGTTAGTTTTGTGTCAGTCTGACTGGGCCACAGGGTGCCCAGGCATTTGGTCAAGTATTCAGTCACCATGTCTGTGAGGCTGTTTCTGGATGGGATTAACATCTCAATCAGTACACGGAGTGAGCCAGACTGCCCTCCCGCTGTGGGTGGGCCTCACCCAGTTAGCTGAAGGCCTGACTAGAAAAGGCTGACCCTCCTGTGAGTGACAGGGAACTCCTCCTGTCCAGCTGCCTTTAGGCTGGGATGTTGTGGAGTTTTCTTCTGCCTTCTTACCTGAACTCAAACATCTGCTCTCCCTAGGTCTCAACTCTGCTGGCATTTGAACGGGTCCTGACACAGCGCCTCTCCTGGTCTCCAGCTGGCCAAGTCTCCCTGCAGACCTCGGGACTTGTCAGTCCCCATCGTGACATGAGCCAATTCCCTATAATAAATCTCTTGATGTGTGTGTGTGTGTGTGTGTGTCTGTGTATGTACACACGCCCCACTGGCTCTGTTTCTCTGGAGAACCCCGACTCATACGGACCTGGTCTAGTGTGCTGCAGAGGAAAGGACATGCCAGCATAAAACTCCGAGTATGCTGATTGCCAGAGGGTGTCTTCTTTAACTGCATTTTCTATAACGTGCCTAACACTGACCTTTGTACATATTGGGATTGTTCAATCATAAGCTTACTTCGCAGTCATTTGTTCTGTTAAATATTTTTAAATAGAAGAAAAGAGTGGAAGTCTGTTGTTAAAAAGCAAGCATCGTATCAGAATTAAGGCTAAATTTTGCCAGCACGATTTCGCCCAAGAAGAAAGTGCTCGTGACTGCATGATGACATCCACTGGGCAATTCTTTTGCACAATTCGAGGACTTGTCTCCTGAGCACGGGAACAGTAAGGGGAGGGGGGGATTAGGCAGGCGGCAGGCCCCTCGCGATTGTTAATGAAACAACAGTTACTGCTTTCATCTGATGAAGAGTCGAACATCTCCAACACAATGAATTATGCAAGGTTTACCCTACTTTTAAAAGAAAATCTAATGCTGGAACACACAGCACATTGTAATTTATATACTATGAGTTATGTGACTTTTAAAAATGCAGATTCCTAATATTTAACAATTCTTTGAATGCTTTACAGATTTTCATCCACAAACACATTATACATAAAATATATCTAAAGGTGAGATCTTAACCTACTATTAACCACTTCGTTAACTAGAAACCTTAACTCTTTCCTGCACACACAGACCAAAACTACTTTGTGGTGAGCCCAACGGCTGGATTTCACTGTTTTGATTCACGTATGTTGTTTCACGTTGGCCTCGCTGGCTTGAAGAAGTGACTATTTTTTAAACTGCTGGAAATTTCTTCTAAATCATTAACAGATGGGCTCTTAATAAAACAATATAGTTCTATAACAAGAAAAATAAGAAATTTCAAGTAAATTGTTGTTTAAATATCATAAAGCTTTCTTGTATGAGACTAACGTGACCTACCAGGGAAGGCTTCCCAGCTCCAACCTGACAGCGTCCGGGCCGACTGCGCGCCCGGCTCCCGCGTTCCCTCCCACCTCCCCGCGTGTCTCTCTCGCTTCTCAGCAGAGGGGGAATAGTTTAAAAGCATGCCTAAATCCCCTGTACGGTGAATCGTATGTAATTAGTAATTACTGCTATAAGCTTTTAAGTTTATAAACATAAACAGGCAGAAAAAACACAGGCATATGTAACTCAGTACAACTGATTAAAATCATTTGTTCATTTCCACACATTAATGTTGTTCATGAAGTAGGTCATTTATTTTCATCTACAACCAAATATTTCATTTACATATTCACCATAACTAGGGAAACCTGTAAGAAAGTAAAATATATTCCCCTTTCACTAAAATATCCCAGATCAAAAACTCTCAGGAATCTGAGGACTGAAAAGATTCAAGGCAAGGCAACTACTGCCCCTGTGTGGTGCGCCACCTGCAGGAACTAATGCAAAGGACAGGAAAAACATCTGGCTGCAAACAAGTAATGTGGTTTAAAATCCATCTCCTAAGGGACTAATTCTTACATGATTTAATACGTCTTGACGTCTTTCAACTCTACTTTAGTAGTTCATCCGTCTAGTATTTTTAAATGTTATGAAACTTTGTTCACTGAACACGTATTATGTGCCAGGCTGATACAATCTCAAATACTGGAATAAATTTCATTCCAAATAATAACAGCGAACTCCTATTCATGTGCCAGACACTGTTATAAGCACTTCACTTCTGTTAACTCACTGAATTCTCTAACCAGCCCCGTGGAAGCAAAGAGGCACAGGAAGTAGCCATCTAAGGCCACAGCCAGTAAGCGATGGGCACTGACGCTTCCATTCTCACGCTAGTGCTCTGTGAGAAACTCTGCGAACCGTCTGTCCAAAGGCACCATCAGGGAGCACCGAAACTTCCCATCCACATGGTGACGTGGTCAGAGGCTGAGCAGACGTGGAGGGGGGTGGCGGTGCCCAGGTGCCGCTGTCCTCCGCTGTGCAGAGGGCCAGGCACCGAAACCGGTCCTCAGCACAGAGAGCCACATGGCCCTCACCCCGTGGAGAGTCACAGAGAAACAAACTAACGTATGACAGGTACAAAAACAGGGTGCTGGGAAAATTTTTTCAGGACCCCTGCGAAACTGAAGTTAAAGCATTCTCTTCCTGAGCCAGCAATAAGCAACCTGCATTTGCGAAGACCAGCCAAACCCGACATCTATTTATGGAAGAAGGACTTCCTCTGTATAGTTAACTTTTCAACACAGCTTTTGCATAACCAAGTGATACAAAAAGAAAATAAAATTATTTACTGCTTTAATATTTGAATATTCACTTATAAAGTTCCGTAATCAAAACACTGATGAAATTAAAGGGAAAAAATGCACTGATAAGTCATGCTTACAAGATTGGTTTTTCTGCCCTGAGAAGTTTGTTTTCACACACTAAATAAATTTCGTGAGTTAGATAACCAACCATTTATATAAACAAGGATCGAGGGATCTAGTTGGTTTAAAAGAAAAGAGATAGTGGGCACACAGAATTTAAATATACACAGGGGGAAAAAAACCCTTCCAGAGCACAAGCCTATTTCTTCAAAGCAAGTGTGAATTTATGCCCATGATCAAACCAAACTCAATGGACTCCCGGAGCACCCAGACACTAATCACTTTCCACTGAGGAGGAGGGGCTATCTTAAGCCACAAAGGCTGCACCCCTTTGCCAAAAAACAAAAATGGGTTTAGCTTTTGTCTGTGTTGCCAAGTCCAAGATAAGCAGGAACTAGCTTTACCCTCAGGAAGACCTCTACCTGTCCCAGCTCCCAGGGCTGTACAGAGCTCTCCCACGGACACGGGGGGCAGAGCTGTCTTAGTCTTACAGGTAGAAGCTCAGGGCAGAGGGCGTTACAATCCATATTCCAGGAACGGGGGGCCTTTATGGAGCAGTTGAATAAAGACTATAAAGTGGTAAGTATGATTTCCGTGTGCTGTACACAAAAGTCAGAGTCATACTTTCTATGTTACCAATTATATATTAAAATTAACACATTAAATAAATGTGCAACTCACGAAAATGCAAAGGCTTATAAAAACTTCTGTAGGCTGATAAATAATGGGGCTAGATTACATGATCTTTAAATTCTTCCCAACTAGGAAATTTCATAAGTATATGGATTATTTTGGACCTGTGTACAAGAGGCAAACATTTTAATCTTGTTTTATCATTTGTTCGTAGTCTACTGAACATAATTTCGTCGATAATTTGGCCTGACTGGCATTATACTCAACTCTGAATCCTTGAACATATCTCAAGTTTTCTTTTTTTCTTTAATTCACTATCTCATTTAATTCTTACACGCACCTACTGAAATAGATACCCTTACTATTTTGTTTTCACAGATGAGAAAACTGAGTCCCAGAACAATCAAGTAACTTGTTCAAGGTTACATGCTGCTAAGTATCAGGATTTTACAACGCTTGTAACTAACCTTAAAAAACGTGGCTATGGTCATAGATGCTGGGCCTCTAAGGTTTGAAAATATCACTTCAAAATCTAACACTTTTAAGACTAGAAATTTACAAGGTCTTAGCTCCACCTACAGTCAAATTTGTATACATACCTCACTGAAAAGGCTGCCATTAACGTATGAAATCCAGAGTTTCCAGAAGTTAGGCAGCTGACTTATGACGAGCTTGGTCAAGTTTTCAACAAATGCCACCCTGTGGGGAGTTTTGTATCTCCACGCTGAGGGGGGAAAGAGTAAAATACTAAGAATACACTTTTGAATCAAGAATAATCAACCATTTGAACATACTGCTGTGCTCTCCACCTAAAATCAACCGTACACGTAAGACCGAGTGTGTGTGGAGAGCTGGCCCGTGACTCCCTGCCGTGGCGGCAGGTCTTCCCTCACGCCAGAGCGCAGTGGCGCAGGCCTGACGAGGTCCCTGCTTTTCTCGGTTCCCTCAGAAGGGAGAGTCCCTTCTGCTTCAGACAGGAGGACACTTCGGCTGTTCAACTTTGTCCTCGGGATGCCATGCGTCTCTTCGAAAAGTCATGCCTTCGAACAGCAAAGGAGGGCAAAGCCAGGGCTGCTCTGCGGCCAATGATGAAATTCGAGGCTAATATTAGTCCGTTAGAAATGCCGTTATGCACCCCAGGTGGTGAAAATTCAGTAGGCAATCCAGCGGTCATAAAGGAATATATTCCAGTGCAATCACATAATGAACAACTCCTTTTAGGATACAGAAATTGAAGAAAAAATAGAAGCATTGAAACCTCTGCAGTTACTCATCATTTGAGGCAGCTGTTGCAGTAACTGAGAAAGAAGGACTTGGACTTCCTGCAGGAAGAATAAGTTTGTGGGAATAAAACCAAATGTGGAAATTTGGGGCCCACTAGCCGTGTCCAGGCCCTCCTCCCTCTTTCCTTATTGGGGCCGTGTCCCCAGCCCTGCGCACTCGGGAGCGCAGCTGCCCGCTCTGACCAGGCTCTGACTCCCACCCCGCAACTCCACAGACAGGCCGGCCTCGATGGGGACTGTCGTTGACTCCTGGCCAATGACCAGCTTCCTGGGCGAGAGGCTCTGTTATTATAGTACTTCCAGTGAGGGAGGGGTAAATCTTATTTATCTGAGAATGTTTAGTAATTTTCCGACTGGCTAATACGTGCCAAGAGAACAACACTTAAAAGGGACAGTGTGCAAAGCCCACCTCCTGCCCCCATCTGCCCAGCCCCCAGCACGGCCACAGAAACTCCTGCGACTAGCTTCTTGTGAATCTTCCTGAAATGTCTGCCACGTGTGAGAGCAAATACAAGCACGTATTCATTCTCCCTCCCCGAATGTTCTTTACACGTTTTTGTTTTTACAAAAATGAACGTACACTAGACGCACTCTCTTCCATTTAGCATGGACCCTGGAGTCCTCCCAGGTTCGCAAAGACAGCGCTTCCTCCTTTCTCCCATAGTCACACAGCGATTCGGACTGCGGATTTATCATAATTTAGTAAGTTTCCTTCTAATGGACAAGACAGTTTCCAGTCTTTTGCAATTAAAATTAATGCTTCGACCAGTAAGTGTATACCTGCATCACCTAGTACACGTGTAAGTGCAAATTCCCAGAATGAGAATTGCCGGGTCAAAGAGTACGTGTAGTTGTTAATTTTGACAGATATGACTGAAATGCCCTCCAGAGGGGCTATTTACGCTCCCATCAGCAACACATGAAAGTAGCAGCTTCCTTATAACCTTGCCAATGAACAATCCAACACGCAAAACCCAACACAAAATAATAAACACTTGGAGTTTTTGGCAAACTGATTCCTCACTGAACTGTCACCTCGCCTCGTGTCATCATCATGGTGAGTGAGGCTGCGCGCCTGCTCACGTACGTAAGACCCGCGAGACGTCCTCCTGTGGCCACAGAGCCTCTTTACTTATATGAGCCCTTTGTCTATGCTATGAGTCATGGGAAAATGTTTTAAATTCAGTGTTCACATATGTGAAAAGCATGGTACTTTAAGGGCACACTGTAAATTTTATTTGTTCATTCTACTAATATTTAGTGAGTATCAACTGTGTGCTTACCATGTGGCTATCCCCAAGATCTAAATGGTTTCACCACTAATGCTGAACAAGGTAGGTCTCTGCCTTCACAGAGTTTATCATCTAACAGAACAGCCAATGAAACACTTCATAATGTAATACGAGACACATAGATTTCATCTGGAGACAGAGCTGGTATGGACTCTTTTTCCCAACAGTAGTTGATAAAGACTGCTTTCCAAGTGGCGGGCAGCATGTAGGAGAGGCTAGGCCATGACCAGGTGTGTCCTGGGGTCCAATGACAAAGTAAAAAGATAAGACAAGCAAATCCACAAATTGAAGCATTAAAAAATCTGCCTGACATGGTAACAAACAGACCCAAAATAATGTTTCAAAAGATCTCAGCTCCTCTGAGCAGCTATATAGGACACTATTTCGTGTGCCTCAACTGGGAGAAGCTCATCTATATCCTTATCTCATAAATCATTTGCAAGGCTTATTTGCTGGGAAATTAAAGTGAAAGAGACCTACGTGGAACTCCAGTCCCTGCCGGCACGGCACCCGGACCAGCTCTTTGTGTGATCTGGTCTGGCACGCTGTGCAGCCACACGCAGTCACGTATCGCTTAAGGACAGGGATGCGTTCTGAGAAATGCCTCATGAGGCGATGTCGTCGCACAACATCGTGCAGTGTGCTTAGACATACCTAGCTGGTACAGCCTACTGCGCACCTGGGCCGTGCGGTGTAGCCCACTGCTCCTGGGCTACAAACCTGTACAGCACGTCACTGTACTGAACGCCATGGCAATTTCAACACAACACTACCACAGTGTATTTATGTATCTAAACTATCTCAACACAAAGGTACAGCAAAAATGTGGTATGAAAGATAAAAAATGAGACACCTGTATAGGGCACTTACCAAGAATGGAGCTTGCAGGACTGGGAGGCCCTCCGGGTGAGTCGGTGAATGAAGGTGAGGGCCTAGGACGTTACTGCACACTACTGAAGACTTTGTATTACATGAACACCGTACACTGAGGCTACATTAAATTTATAAAAAATAAAGTGACTGCACTAAGAGATCAGGACGGCCACGACATCACTGGGCATTGGGAATTTTTCAGCTCCATTATAATCTTATGGGACCACGACCACACGTGCAGTCCACCATTGATGGAAATGTCATCATGCCACATGCACCACTATATTCCACAGATACAAACTCATGATGGTTCCACTTATGACTGACTTTAAGATGACACGAAAGCAATATACATTCAGTAGAACACGAGCATTCTGTTTTCCACTTTCAGTACAGTATTCAATAAATTACATGAGATATTCAACACATTAATATAAAACAGGCTTCGTGTTAGATGATTTTGCCCAAATGCAGGCTAACGTAAGTGTTTTGAGCACACGTAAGGGAGGCGACGGTGTTTGGTGGGTTAGGTATATTAAGTGTACTTTCAAACTTATGATATTTTCAACTTAAGATGGATTTATTGGGACATAATTCCTTCCTAAGTAGAGGACCGCTATCCATCTATCTGTATTTACACATACATTCTACAAATGCACATCTCTTCTATAGATGACACCGCTGGGTGTCAAGGAGCACATCATGATTACTCCCCACTACAAGGAAAACAGAGAGAAAACACTGCCTCTTCACTGCTTTAAAAGAAAAATTCCTTTTTAAAACTCACAAAGTAAATAGAAAGTAAACTCAGTTTCCCTCTTGTAAATCCATTAATTACTAAGTATTCTAATTGAAATGATTTTATGATAGGAAAAGTCTTTAGACAATTATAAATAAGAATATAGCAAACCAATTGCAAAAGGCTTCCAAGAAGATTCCTTCGGCTAAATCTTTTTCTGGCAGATTAACCGGTAACGTTACTCGTTTGAGTGCACCGTAGTACAGTGTCCACACAGGCACCACACAGTGTGGCCAGGTAACCCTGCTGCGCTGGAGGTGCTGTGATCACTCAGTGTATCGGTGCTCAATTACCACGGTTCTCAGCAACAGCTGGGCTCCTGTGAGCTCCTGCCCAGTGACAGAGAACGATTCTTAGCATTGTGTCGTATTTTATCTTTTTCTTACTTGCGAATTCTTTACATGCGTGTACGTATGCACATATGTATCAGAGTCCTTTCCCCCCGTTCCTTCTAAGTCTACTTTATCCAAATTCTGTTCATTATAATTAAAAAACGAGTTTTGGTTTTTTCTTACTGAATCCAACATGTCCTAAAGGCCAACATGACGTATCACTGACAGAATAATCAAGAGCAATTTCCCAAGAATGATGAAAGGAACTAAAGGGATATGGCAGGAATGTCCAACTTTTTTCAACAGAAATCACAAAGTATGTAGGCTCATGAGTTTCGCTTTGCTCACAAAGTTGAGAATGAGCTTCCTCCACTCTATTCATACCTATGGTTTACTGTAGGCAATCCTTCATAATGTTCCAAACACAAGCAATAATTTGGGGAAAATTAAACTTGATTTATTTGACTTCCATTTTTGGACATGCTGGAGTAACATGGCTTGGATTTAACCTCCAGCCACAAACAACTAGAATACTGGAAAACTCTATGAAACAACTGTTTTCAGACACTGGACAGAAGGCAGCCCAGGCTTGTGACCTGAGGGAGGGGACACGTGTGGCAAGCTCCACAGCCACCTAGGCTTTCTGCTCTTTTCTGGACAATAGATGCAAAGTAGGAGGAACCACGGCAAAGCTCGCTGGCCTTTCTGAGTTGGAAAGATGGGGACTGGAGTTCGAGGAGGCTGAGGTGATGGGGAACTGCAGGGAAGAGTTCAGGAAGGGAGGGAGCCATGTAGGAAAAAAGCTCCAGAAATCTGCGGAGGGGTCTTCTTCAGTCTTTGTTGAAGACTAGGCCACGTATACATGGAGCACAACTTCACAAACCTAGACAAAGAACGGCTGGGGGACTTTAAGCTCAATAATCCCAGAGATCACACAGGGCAGCGAGGCTTTCTAGCTCCAACAGCCAGGGAAACTTGTTCTTATCAACTGCCTAGACCAGTCAGCAGAGACACAGGGGTCATGCCTTGGTGGTCGGGCTGCAGTATCCCTAGAATTAAGGCTATGCTAGACCAGCTCCAGCAAAGATCAACAACAGGCCTTGAGGAGACAGGGCCTCAGCAATTCATGGAATAATCTACTGACAAAACACATGTAATCAGAGTCCCCAAGGAGGGAGCAGGCAGAAACACACATGAGAACATCACGGCTGAAAATTTTACAAACTTAACGAATATTTCCAAAGATTGATAATAACATAGATCCAAGTAGCCTGGTAAAACCCAGGCAGGATAAATTTGAATGGTTCAAGTGATGCGATTCATCACAGTCAGCCCCGAGAGTAGTTTCTAACGCTTCTAAATAACGGATCCAAGCCCGCTGCTGTGAGAACCGGGGCAGTAAATTCCGTGAGGACAGGCAAGGAGCTGGGTGGAGAGTTTTTAAACCTGAGATATTGTCCTACTATAATAACCAAGAGAAGGAAATGTTTTTAAAATCTGAAGTGGGCTGCACGCCAGAGTCAGAGGCCGTACGAGCCCAGCGGGCTCCACGCTGACGCTGCGGCGCAGACTGCAGAAGGGAACAGCTCTGCTGTGTCACCGTCCGCACTGACGCCAGTGGCTGCGCGGGGAGTGGGTACAGGACAACAGGGAGGAGACTGACAGTTACGGGAGCCCTTCATTTAGGACAAATGAATCATCTAATTGTAAGGTATTCTTAGGATGGACATTCATATTTATTCATAAAACTCTAGAAAAATTCCCTACTCTAATACTTACAAGAAATATGAAATACTTTAAAATAAACTTTAGAGATATTTGAATTTAATATAAGGTAAGGTATTTCTATTACCCTGTTTGACTTTCTTATATTAAATATCCGCTATTGAGATTATAGTGACGAATTGCATCTAATTTGACATATGAATGCATTATAGCCAATGCATTTTATCTCTCATAATAGGTAAATATCTGCTTCAGAAAGTTGAGAAATGCAATATAGTGACAATTTTAGATGCTTTATCTTAGGAAAAACTGATGAGTGATTAATTTATGGTTTATTAACAACCAATCCTTCTTTCCAAACCACAGTTCAAATTTCCTTGAAAAAGGAATACTGACTATAGACATTACTTTGTTGCAAACTTCATCTTAAAGAAGTTCTCATAGAGTTTTTTCTGTAGCATTTCTTTAAAAAAATTCAACCACAGAAAAAATAAAACTAGACTTTAACTAAATATGTTGAATAAACACTGACCATTTCTTTAAAAAATCAAATAGCATTTCTTTAAGGTAAAATGTACAATATATTTTAATTATTTAAGTTTAATTACCATGTAGGTGCTTTAATAAGCACAAGAGATGATGGTTAGTAATATTCAGCACAAGGAACGACACAAATTTGGGGATTTTCCAAGAGAAGAATGTTTGAAATTACATGAGCACAAATTTAAAACGCCGCGCAGAAGCAGGGGAGATACTCACTGTCATCTTGGCCAGACTGAAAGCTGCTGCCCCTCTTCAGTGACGCTGTCTGGCCGAGATGGCCCAACACCGAGGGACGGACGTCAGTGTCAGGATCCAGCATGGGGCTGTGCAGGCCTGGGTTACCTGGAGGAGAGAGGAGACACTCACATGTGCTCTGTACATCCTCGCCCAGCTGATTTAACGGATGGCTTCTCTGAGGCTCTATCTTGCTCAGTTGCTTCACTCTTAAATAAAACATTTACTAAGTAAAATAAAAAGTATTTTCTCTAAATAGATTTTAAATGTCATTCCCAGTTTAGCAAAACCTGGGGGAAGGAAACGGTGGGCGATGCTGAGAACATAAAAATTAGGTGAAACAGCTTACTGGCACTTGGGAAAGGAAGTCATCGAGTTCTGACTCTTCTATTTCTTTTAACGGAGCTGATTTACAACAGATTTTTATAGCACAAATCTTCTCCGATGCCACACTTTACATCCAAATCCCATCGTTCCTTTCTTTGGAGTGTGGGATTTGAGTCCGTTTCTGTTCCTGTTGCCAGTAACCTAGTTTGGATCCTTTTAGCCTCCCACCGCTAATATTCCAGAAGCCAAAACATTTTACTACTGTCAAGAAATTATCTTTGTTGTCCTGGACTAATCTCACACTCAAATACTACTTTCTTGATGTTAGAAGTCCTCCAGAAAACCCCCAGGATAAAGTCCACACCAATGGTTTCCAATCCAAATTATGCTGAGAATTGGAAAACTAATTTTTCTAAAATGGATATCAAGAGCTGTTGGGAATGGAATTCTACATTGCTAAAGGAGTAGCAAGGACATTGGCTTGAAGTGGTAACATCTGCCTTATTAGTCCATAAACCACTCTCAGCTCTTTAGCTGAGCATCCAAAGATCTTCAAAATCAACTGAATTTCACTGAAAACTTACGGAGAATTTAGAGCACTGTGCACAGGACACTTGAATATTCTCCATACAAAAATACACCTTACATTCTCCTGCCTTATTTGCTCTCCTCTCCACCGGAAAGGCCTCATTCATCTTTGCTCTTCATTCATGAAACCCGCACCCTTCAAGGCTCAGTCTGAATCACAGCCACCACACAAGGTCACCTCTTGCCGTTACCTATCTAAAGCCCTGTGTCATGCTGCTCTCTGACAGCAGTTCGAATGTCCATGGTTTAGTTTGTTTGTTAACAGGTACAAATTGCCATGTCACTGCCACCTCCATGACAGACACTACCCTCTCCGGACTAAGAGCTAAATATTCTATCTCCACATTTCCCACAGCCACCAAACCTTACGCAAATAATTCCTTCTATATAAATATTAAGTGACTGATATTATTCACCAAGAATAATTCACTAAAAACTACATTCCTCGTTTTACAACTTAATAGAATATTAAAAGCTTACAGATTTGTTTTTAGGTGCTAAAAAAACACATTTATATTAGGTTGGTGAAAAAGTAGTTGTGGTTTTAGCATTGCTGACATTTGCCATTTGATATTGGAATACATTCTTAAATAAATGTAGTTATGTTATACATCATTTTAATGTGCATTTCTCCCTTCATTTTTTTTGCTAATGACTTATTGCTTGCTGTTTATTTTATATTTATTTGAGACTATGGAAATGATGTTAGACAAAACACAAATTCAAGAGATTTTTTTTATTCGAGTTCAAAATGTGTCGTAAAGCAGCAGAGACAACTCGCAGCATCAACAACGCATCTGGCCCAGGAACTGCTCACGAACGTACAGCGCAGTGGTGGTTCAAGAACTTCTGCAAAGGAGATGAGAACTTTGAAGAGGAGGAGCGCAGTGGCCGGCCATAGGAAGTTGACCACGATCCACTGAGAGCAACCATCGAAGCTGATCCTCTTACAACTGCACGAAAAGTTGCCGCAGAATCGACGGGGACCATTCTACAGTCGTTCAGCATTTGAAGCAAATTGGAAAGGTGAAAAAGCTCGATAAGTGGGTGCCTCATGAGCCAACCGAAAATCCAAAAAATCGTTTTGAAGTGTCGTCTTCTCTTCTTGTACGCAACAATAATGAGCCATTTCTCAATTGGATTGTGACGTGCAACAAAAAGTGGATTTTATACGACAACTGGAAACGACTGGCTCAGTGGCTGGACGGAGAAGCAGCTACAAAGCACTTCCCAAAGCCAAACTTGCACCAAAAATGGTCGTGGTCACGGTTTGGTGGTCTGCTGCGGGTCTGATCCACTGCAGCTTTCTGAGTCCCAGCAAAACCGCCACATCTGAGAAGGCTGCTCAGCAAATGGATGAGATGCACCAAAAACGGCAACGCCTGCAGCCGGCACTAGGCACCAGAAAGGGCCCAATTCTTCTCCACGCCCAACCCAATGTCGCACAACCAACGCTTCAAAAGTTGAGCGAATTGGGCTACAAAGTTTTGCCTCATCCGCCATATTCACCTGACCTCTCACCAACCGACTACAACTTCTTCATGCATCTCAACAGCTTTTTGCAGGGGAAATGCTTCCACAACCAGCAGGATGCAGAAAATGCTTTCCAAGAGTTCATCCAATCCTGAAGCACGGATTTTTACGCTACCGGAATAAACAAACTTATTTCTCATTGGTAACAATGTGTTGATGGTAATGGTTGCCATTTTGATTAATAAAGGTATGTTTGAGCCTAGTTATAATGATTTAAAATTCATGGTACGAAACCACAATTACTTTTGCACCAACCTAATAAATTAAAATTATAATTTTGTGCCACTGATAATGCTAGCTATTCAATAACAATTGACAAGTATTTAGTGGGTACCTCCTAAGTGGCAGGAACTGTAGGCCCTGGGGAGAAGGTGGATGAGACACAGCTAAGGCCCTACTTTCAAGGTGCTGACATTCTGGTAGTGGAGGTAGAAAATAAACCAACAAATAAACAAACCATAAAAATACAGTAAAAGGGGCTAAGCAGAGAATTTAGATAGTGAGTGTGTGATGAGAGAAGGTCGGACTTCACGGGCCCTCCTATCATGTGCACACGATACAGCACCAGCTGTCTCCTCAGCTTCTCTCACATTCTGCCTGGCAGGTTTCAAAGGAGTAGAAATTGAATCATCTGAACAGATTCTTTAATGTAATTAATTTTGGGGAAGACTTACTATGTTTTGGCTACTGTGCTAAATAAATGTTGTGCATACATTTCTACTTTGGAAAATATTACATCTAACATAAGAAGATTTGTATAATACAATATGTTAAAAGAGAAAAAATGATATATTTGATACAGAGTAAAAAAATACAAATAGTCAAGAAATAACATTTTTTGTAATTAATTTTTTTTCCTTTGTTAAAGAGGAAGTTTGCGTGTGGAAGTCTTAATGATTTATGACATTTTTCTTCGAAGTTTACATAGTTGTCACTGCTATTAATTGTAGAATTCAGGAAATGAACATCAAAATATGAATTTCTGACATACTTTAAAAGAAAACAAAGAGGCCCAAACTTAGCATTGCATTAAAAAAATAAAAATTTATAATTTATATCAAAACGTTTATAAAAAGTACAAGAAGAGAATGCTTTCATTTAAAATGTTACATGTTACTCTTGAAGGTTTCAGGACTTAAATTTATGATTAAGGAAAACACACTATATACCACTCCTGCAAATAACAGAATTATCACTTAAACAGATACCCAGAAAAAGTTTTCTCCCCGTACGTGGTATTTTTACAACTTTAAAAATGGTTCAATACTAATTCATTTGTATAGTTTTAGTAAATCTTGAATTTCAAAACAGATAAAAGGTTTATCTTTTCCTTTAATAACAAAAACTGTATTAAGCATGTGCTTTTGTTCTATTAAAAACCACATTGTCAGTTTGCTGTGATACCAGGAAAAGAAAATTAAACACGAACTAATTTCTTAATTGGCAGTCTAGCACTGCCAGCAAGCACAACACAGCAGCAGGGAGCTGGACCAGCACGTGCCCCGCAGGGTGGTTCAGCATCTGGGATACATTTGTGAGATGTATTTTGCTGAGTGACCAGAAGGTGGCGCCTCACAGCTGCACACAAATGCGAAAGCCTTGCAAAAAGAGCGTGGGCACTGACCTAGCATTGCGTTCCTCTCCCTAACGTTTTGCATTTTTTTCTACCAACAAAATGATCTTACAATAAATTATTTTACAGAGACTTAGAAAGAGTATGCTTTGAAGAGAAAATTAATGAAAACGTTTTAAACATCAGTTGTCACAAATTATTTACTATCAAATGTAAAAAACCTTGAGGATTTTAACACTTCTTTTAAACTTAAATTATATATTTCTAACCCACAAAATTATTACAAATATAAAGTGGCTTTAACAGTAAGTAAGCACTACTATATAAAAGGACAAAAATAAAAAAATTCTATAACATATAAAATCAGCGAAAGACTTTAAATATTTCACAAAAAATCAGCCTATTCCCACTTGCTTGTTTTACCTCATAATATGATAGCATTATCTTATGATGTGTTTAAGAGAAACATATACATTATATAAAGCATATGGTTATAAAGGAGAATGTAGCAAAACTATTATGAAGTTTCATTGTATCACTCTCTCATTGATCTGCAGATCATACGCAACTGCAAGATGTTACTTAGTATATATTCCCTAAAAACCTGATACTTGCCCTTTGAGGTCCTCCTGGCTTCGGTGTTCAATTGTATACACAGAACTTCAGTTTTTCATCAGAATGCTAGCTTGCCGTGGAACATTTTATAGGTGACAGACTCAAGTTTTTGTAAAATTGCACTGGACTCTGTCCTTTTCAAATGAATACTGCATTAATATGAGTTCTGAGAGGTCAACTGTTTTCTTGGCAATACATTTTCTCTAGAAATGAACTGTTCCTAGGATTTTTCTGGATGGAAATTTTTAAAAAGTCTTTTGTCAAGTAGGAAGTTATTACTTTTAGCCTCGATGAAAAGGTTGTAATTTTATGCCTTCATCTGGGCTAATACTAACGAACTGTTCCCTATATTTGCAATCGGAGCAGGGATTAATTCTATTGAAGATTCTCATGGCTATGCAACTGGTGTGGGGTTTTGCAGCGGCTCATGGAGTCGTGGGCTCATCTGAAAAACAGACCCGTAAAAATGAGG